GAGCCACATTTTGAAAACGACCCGCCACCCATCCGCGAAACTGTTGCCATCTTTGTAAGCTTCAGAGTCAGTAGTGGCGAGGAAGTCTCAGGCGAAACGTTCGGCCCGCCCTAAAAGCTGGACTCGGGCTGTGACAGGGACAAATTATTGATAAGGAAAAGGAGTGGATGATGAGGAGGAGGAGGAGGAGGACGAGGAGGAAGAGGAGGAGGAGGAGGAGGAGGAGGAGGACGAGGAGGAAGAGGAGGGGAGCCAGACCGCGGGTGGAGTGGGGCCTCTGGCAGCCTCCGGACCGCTGCCGCGCGCGTCGCCGGCGCCTGCGGCATAGAAAGAAGCGCGTGAGCACGCGCGCGGGAACTTGAAGCTCGCGAGAAGGAGGGGAAGGGGGAGGAGAGGGAGCAAGGAGGAGGAGGAGGGAGGAGGAGGAGGAGGAGGAGGAGGAGGAGGAGGAGGAGGAGGAGGATGGAGGATGTATGAGAGTAGGGAGGGGTCGACCCTTCGTCCCTGGCCGACGGTGCCTTTCACGTGCGTGCTCCTCCCTGCCACGGGGAACCTCAAAGCACGTTGCTGAGGCGGGCGCTTCCACCGTCTGTGTCAGCTGTGGCAGGTGCTCACCAGTGTGGGGGGGGGGGACGCTCCACGCATCAGAGCCTCGCCTGAGGATCGGAGGAGCTGGCATCTCTGCTTCGGCGGAAGCTGGCGGAAGGCCGGCGGAGGGCGGCGGAAGCAAACGATGCGGCCCTACGTAGGAGGTGCCAACAGTTTGGGATCCAGGGTTTCCGGAGTCGGCCATGCGTTCCAGCCGTGGCTCCCCTCTTGACATCTGGCTGTTTGCGGAAAAAATTCGCCGTTGGGCGAGCGCAGCAGCACAGCAGCGCAGCAGCGCAGCACCAAGGGGGCTGAGTGTCACCTGGGTGCCCTGTGTGAGGTGGCGCGGGTCCACCGCTCACCCTGCTTGTCTCAGCTACGTTCCCCCCCCTTGTTTGGTACACGTCGGTCGATAGTTTCTCTGCGCAATGGCCAGGCTGCTCCTTGCGGCCGTGGAGATTGCCGCTGTGGCCGGTCTTCACGTCCACGATGCTCCCTCCAGCGACGCACTGTCGCGCACACGCGTCGCTGTAGTGCTTGACCTGGCGTTGACTGATGCTGCCCTCGAGAAGTTCCGCGTCACCACTCCGGGGGAGCACGCCGTGAGCGTGCTGCCCGGGAGTGCAGACCTTTGGAGAGCCCAGCCGCTGCCGACCTGACTGTTTGTGCCACGTTCGGGAAGCTCACCGGAGATGCGTGCGAAGACCTCCTCATTTCGGGGTTTGACAGACCTCCTACCCTGACAAGTCGATTGAGGAATTGGCCGTTTTCGGTTTGCGAGAGGGCGTCGTGGCCGTCATTGTTGCGGGTCCAGGTCCGTCGGTTTCGGTCCCAGGCCGTTTTCACTAAGGGGAAATGTATTAAAGGGAGGTTTGTCCACCGCCGATCATGCGCACTGTCACATTTGAGGGAAGCTCCGTCGGGACAAACGTCACAAAGCTTGTATTCAACGTGGGGAGCGATCATTTCGACGACACGGCAGCCCATGACTACACGTACACCTTTACTGACAGTAGAGGCACCCCCCAGGACGTTACGAACACTGACGCCAGGCACCTCTTCGACAATGTGCCGATGTGCTACATGGGTGCTCCGCGGGGCTTCATCAGAGAGCACCTACAGGACCTACATGCACCGCCAGAGGTTCATGCAGGTGGAGTGCAGCCTGAACGTCGACCAGCACGACATCAAGGTGTTCTGGAGCACGGTGTGGCGGGGGTTCAACAGCACAACCAACTCATGCGTTTTCGCCAACGACCTCGCCTTCAGCATCGGGAACGTGGCGAACGCTGGGGGCACTCTCGGCTCGGGCGATCTCGCGGCGATCTCCGCGGCGATCCCCGTGCGCAACAAGAAGCAGCCCGTCCTCGGACCCTACCAGCCCAGGAAGGGGAAGCCGCGGGGGAAGCCTTGGCATGGAAGCGCGCGCACCGCTTCCGCTGCGCGGCCCGGCGGCCTCCGTCCCGCGGTCGCCCTGCACGGGCGGGTCTCGACGCCCGCCTGGCTCTTGGCCCGTCGCCCAACGGTTCCGCCCCGGTCCACCTCCTCCGGCCGCGCTCGCGTCGCTTCGGGCGGGCGCGGCCGTGGCGGCGGCGTGGCTTTCCTGTTGTCCCTCTCGGTGCTTCGGGTGCGGCCGCTTGGGCCGAGCCCCTCGGACACCAGGGGCTCCCCATTCCCAGCCCCTTCCCTTCAAGAAGCGCCAGTGCAGCTCCTTTGGTTTTTCTCGGAGCATGCACGCAGGAGGATATGGACGGCATGGGGGTACCAGTACGTCATGGCGCTGCTCAACAACCCTGTCCACAGGCGACTACGTGACGGAGTGGAGTTCATCGCAGGTATCGACGGCACCACCAATTATGTACGCGACATCATCAATCTCGCGTGGATCGGCACGCAGACAATGCGCCAGAGGCTGACGGACCACATCCAATCCCTTCAGATTGGCGAATGGCTGCACGTAGTTGCGATGCATTGGGCCAACCTTGACGAGGTTCACCGTACCATGACGGACATGCTCAACGGTGAGCTCACCACCTTTGGAGGTCAGCCACCAGAATGGGCCCCGCCCCACGGCGCTGCCGCAGACGTCTGGCAAGGACCACCCACAGAACCAGCACCCGCGCTACCGAGACCAGCTTACATCCCCAACAGGCTTATCACGGAGGGCTGGAGGCGACCATGGCCTAGTTGGGACAAGGCGCCCGAACCAGACAGCGACGAAGACTACTACCACCATCCTGATGCGGCACCCTCTCACGGCGGAGCTGGCCAGGCGCATCCACAACTGCTACCGCAGGCAGGGCAAGATCCCGCTGAAGGTGCTCAGCAGCGCCCTGCCAGCCAGGCAGGGGCCACCCAGGATGAAGCAGAGACGGACCTGCTGGCACGCAGCGCACAACAAGCCGACCAGCCCCAAGCCGAAGGAGCACCAGGAGCTGAACACTGACGCCGAAGCACTAATGTGCAGACCAGGCGAAGGACTATAGCAGGCGGGCGCGACCGACCAGAGGAGGAAGACGGCACGCAGCTCATGCAGACCGCCGCGGGGCCAGCGGGCCACACCAACAGGGCGCACCCAGCAGCCGTTGAGCATCCACAGCAGCCTGAGGTGCAAGAGCACGATCCCCATCACGGAGAATTTCAGCCAGACCAGCCGCACGAGGAGGCAGAGGCACCAGCCAGCACCAAGGCCGACACGCGCGGGAATGCCACCAAGCGGCCCGCGGAGGGAACTGCAGGCGAGCCACAGTGTAAGGCGCGCCGCCCAGCGGGACCTGACGCCAGCCCAGACGCGCAAACCATGACAGGATCCCCTGCGGCAAGAGAGGCCATGGCAGCTGCCACGGCCCGCCGTGAGGCCAGGCTCAAGGAAGTACTCAACAGGAGTACTCGCAGCCACGTGGACGACAGCATCGAGCTCCTACAGGGTGAGATCCACGTCAGTGCGGATCACGTCACCACGTCCCTCTTCATCAAGAAGGACTGCCCAGGACAGCCATCGGCCAGGACCCGCTCCCGCTCGATGCCGTCAGGGCGCAGGGACCGCCTCGACGAGCTCACGAGGACCATAGGCCTGATCGGAGCTGAATGGCTTCCCCGCGAGTTCCTGCGAAACGAGGAGCTGGACGAGCAACAGATGTGGTTTAAGTGGTGTGTCCCCTTCGTGCTGCAGCAGCTGGAGCAGCTGGAGGCCAAGGACATGGACGTCCTGTTCGACACGACGGACGAGGACGACTACTGCGACTACAGTAAGCAGCTCGCGGAGGAGATGATGCGCACAGCTTGGGGCCGCAGAGTCACCCTCCGAGAGGCCCAGCGCACCCAAATCCGCGAGCGACGGCAGCAAGGGCAGGAGTTCACCGAAGACTAGCAGCGGATGGCCAGGACCTTCCTCAGGCGCTGCGACGTGGGCAGCCCTGACACTCAGCCGCAGATACTCCTCCTGGCAGCAGCGGAGGCGATGGCAGAGCCAGGATTGGCACGGCCGAGGCAGTAGCGCGGCTCCTGGCAGCGGCAACAGCTCGGCCCAGCCCCTGCGGAGACGTGGCATGCAGCGCTGTTGAAGAAGGAGATGCTGCGCCGAGACCAGTCGACGAACAGGCTACGATCAACCGCGATGATTGGAGGGACCGCTTGGAGGAGCAGATCCACCACGCTACCAAGCCGGTGGCAGCCACGGTAGCACTTGCGGACGCCAGAGGAGGCGAGAAGCAGCAGCCGCGCGCGGTACGGCGGTCGCGGCAGCAGCCAGGAGGGGGCGAGGTGCAGCGGCCCGCCAAGGTGGCCCGCACCGCGCCTGCCGCAGGAGGAGGTGGCCAGCAGCCCTCCATCCGCCTCCTCCTGGGCCAGTGCACAGCCCAGCCGCGTGCGCCGCAGACGGCAGCGCGCGACGCCCCGCGCAGCACGCTGGGGCACGGCGGAGGCGCGGACCACCAGCAAGGCCCGCGAGCCACGCCGAGCGGCGCAGGTTGCCGCGCCGCGGGCACTGAGGGCCGGCGGCAGTGCGCGCGCGGACGGGGGCGCGGGACGGCCGCGTGCCGCCCGCCGCGCGTGGGCGCGGGATGCGTCCGTGTCAGGTGGGGGGGCGCCACGGGCGCCCCCCCCCACCTCAAGAGACGTCCCAAGAGACGTCCTCCCCTTTCCCCTACTCACACTCACTCTCGTCTTCCTCATCGTTCTCCTCCTCGCCCTCCTCATCCCCTCTCCTCTCTTCGTCGTCCCTTCGCCAACCCTGCTGCCTACCTACCCCCTCCCTCTCCCATCCTTCCCCCCGCCCTCCTCCCCGTCGGTTCAGGCCTGCTCGGTACCGGCCAGCTCCCCTTTCCCCCTCCCCCCTTTCCTCCTCCCCTCCTCGTCTCCCTCCCTCTCATTCTCTGTCCCTCGTTGCCTCCGCCTCCCCTCCGCTTTCCCCGATGGCAGGCTTCTCCGCGCTGAAGCCGGCGGATCAGGAGCAGATCCTCGCCAGGGTGCCCGCCACCGCGGGCGGTGCGGCCGGCGAGGGCGGTCTGAGCCCGGAGCTTCAGGAGCAGAACAAGAGGCTGTTCGAGGTCCTTGACCTGCTCAAGAGCCTTTCGGACACCGAGGGGCACGACAAGAAGTCACGACCCCAGCAAGGCACCCTTGATGGCAGCAGCGGTGACGAGGCGTGTCGAGGAGTAGGAGGCCGGCCAACACTACCCCAGCAAGGCACCCTTGATAGCAGCAACGGTGACGAGGCGTGTCGAGGAGTGGGAGATTGGCCAGTGAAGAAAGGCCGGCTCGACAAAGTCAGGTCGCTCAGAAAAGCGGGGGAAGTCGGGGATGCATCCCAGGGAGGATGGATATGCCCCCCCGTCGTATGCCCTCGAGTTTGACTCTAAATTGTTGGTTCACTCGACAACCACACAGCCGGGGATTGAGGGCGCACTGCCTTTTGTTTTCGGATACAATTCTTGGGAGGTCAAATTCTGATTTGCCCTGATCCGAAGTCCGGCTTGATCCAGCTTAATCCCGCGCGATCTGGCGTAATCCCGCTGAAGCCCGCTCAATCCTGTTTAATCCCGCGTAATCCGAGGCCTACTCCTGGCTTGACCTCCCCCAGATGGGGCTTAATCCTTTTTAGTCCTTCCGACGAAGACCTCCCAGTAGTTGCTTCCTGACCTGTTACTCCGAGATCCCAGGACGTCCAGCTGAAGGACATGCTCGAGCTCAACGGCTATCCCACCAAGCGCTTCCCCCCGGGGACCGTGTCGCCCGCCGAGCTCTGCGCCGACGGCATCCTCTTCGGCGCCGTGGTGCCGTGTGCCGTGTGCAGCACCGACGACCACCAGAGCCGCCTCCTGCTCAGCACGGACGGGGGGGACTCCTACAAGTGCAAGGCCAGGCGACCGCAAACGTCGATCAAGGGGCCGTGGATTAGCGACGGGCCCCGTTTCCAGGGGAAATCGCGGATCTCCGCCACCGAAGGAAGCGGCACCGGCCGCCTTTTGGCGGAGGGCGCCTCCCCCGATCCATGGATTTGGCGACCGCGCGCCAGATCCATGGGTCGCTAATCCGTGTTTGCGCGCCCCCGACAAGGGCTGGATCAACAAGTTCCTCCGCTGCACCGTCAGGACGCAGGCCCCCGAGAGGACCGAGTGGGTCCTGAGCGAGGCGGCCAAGGCCTGCGGCGGCGGCGCGCTGAAGAAGATGAAACTCAAGACGGGCACCGGAGGGCCAACAGACAGCACGCACGCTTTGTTATGCGTCGCGGGTCTGCGCGCGGCGACAGGGCGCAGAAACACATCCCACGCACACATACGCACACACAGCATGATGAAGTGTGCAGGCTTCGGTCAGTTGTTCGCCTGATGGTTGGACGTGCGCCCTCGGCAGGGCGACACACACAACACAAACAACAACACACCAAATAGACGGAACCTGGCGCGACCACAATTAGGGGAAAGCGTCCTGCATGGGCGCATCGAGGGGCGCATCGCTCGGCATTGTTTTGCATCGCTTGGCATCGCTTGGCATTGCTTGGCATTGCTTGGCATTGCTTGGCATTACTTGGCAGTGCTCGGCAGTGTTTGGCATTGCTTGGTGGGCATTGCTGGGCATTTCTTGGTATTGCTTGGCATTGCTTGGCATTGCTTGGGGAACCCGGGGTACCCGAGGAAACCGAGGAACCCGAGAATCCCCGCGAGGAACCCGAGGAACCCGGGACCCGCGAAACCCGAAGAAAAGGATACCCGAGGAGCCCAAACATGGGGAACCCGAGGGATACCGAGGAACCCGAGGTTCCTTAGGAACCAGAGGAACTGGAGGATCCCAAGAAACGCGGGGAAGCCGACGAACCTGAAGAACTTGAGAAGCCCGAGGAATCCTGAGAATCTCCGGCGAACGGGCAAAGTCGGGTCCCGAGACACCAATCTTTAATGAAGTAAGAACCCCCTCGGCAAGCCTGAGTTGGGAAGTGCGAGGCACCAGGGGCGGGGAGCCCGAGGAACCCCGGGAAGCCCAGGGAGCCTCAGGGCAACGGGCAACGCAACAACAGGAGTCCAGCGGCGGGGAACCTGGGGAACCCAGGGAACTCGGGGAATCTCCAGGGGCGGGGAACCCGGGGAAATTCCGCGGAGCGGGCAAAGTTTGGGGAAAGTCGGACGTCCGCGGGCGATCTTTCCACACGGTGCCGCGCCCCTCGCACGTAGTGGAAGGGAGGGGGTGCCCTGAGGAAAACGGGTCCTGAGGCTTTGCCCGGTTTTCGGGCTCTTGGGGCCCTCCCTGGGCACCAGAGCCGTGAGACATGTGGAAAAGAGGCTCAGGATGAAGAGATGGTGTCGGGGGAGGTTGCCCGGGCCTAGGACCTGATTCCCCCTGGACCCCCTTGCTACATGTCACCCCCCTTCCCCTACACCCCTGCCAGGCTCAAGGGTCGGGTGCCCCCGAACGGTGCGGAGACTGCACCGTGAGGTGAGTCAGTGGGGAGTCGGGGTGACCGCACGGTTTTGGGACCCGGGTCGTTCTCCGAGGATGTCTCAGGCGATTGGGGTCTCCAAAGCCCCAGATCGGCGCAGTGACGGACCGAGCGATGTGTGTGTGTGTGTGTGTGTGTCTGTGTGTCTGTGTGTCTGTGTGTCTGTGTGCGTGTGCGTCTGCGTCTGCGGCTGTGTGTGTGAATGCCTTTTTTCCGCCGGAGCAGTTGCCCTCTGCCCAGCCGCCGACGTCAACAAGAAAGTGTGTGTGTGTGTGTGTGTGTTTGCGTGTGTGTGTGTGTGTGTGTGTGTCTGTGTGTGTGTCTGTGTCTGTGTCTGTGTCTGTGTCTGTGTCTGTGTCTGTGTCTGTGTCTGTGTCTGTGTCTGTGTCTGTGTCTGTGTCTGTGTGTGGGTGGGTGTGCGCGTGCGCGTGCGCGTGCGTGTGCGTGTGCGTGTGCGTGTGCGCGTGTGTGTGTGTGTGTGTGTCTGTGTGTGTGTCTGTGTGTGTCTGTGTGTGTTCTCCGAAGAAGAACAGCCAGCATAAACATAAATGTTCGGAGGTCCGCTTGGATTTCGTGGATCGGCGCCAAACACCCCCTCTCTTGCGCGCGGAGCGCGCCAGGGCCAGCGCCAAAGACAGCGCTGCCAGGCGGATCCAGCGCCGATCTGAGAAACCTGCGCGGAATTTCAACAGCTATGTCGATGCACTCGCCGTTCATCCGTGCTTGTGGCTTCGAGGTCCTCGCGCGGCCCGTCGCCACGCCGGTCTGGGACCTCCTAGGGAGGGTTGCCGGGAGTGGACCCCCCCGAGATCGGGGCGATGTGAGCCGGGGCCATCTTGTCGGGGGAGCGCAAGACCCGGGTTTGCCAGGACTCGGGTTCGCCATCGTTTTTTGACGACCGCGCCTCGGATTTTGACGAGGAGGAGTTTCGTGGGATGTCTGCAGCTGGAGGCCTCGTCAAAATGCAGGCTCGGCCTCGTCATTTTTTTGACGACCTCGTCGGGGATTTCCGAGTCCCCCGTACCCGGGTCTTACGTCTCCCCGATCTTGGCGCTTCTGGAGCCGTCTGGGGGCCCTCTGGAACCCAAAAAGGAATCGGGCCTCCGATCGAGCCACCCGGGGGTTCCCACGTCTGCCCAGGGCCCGGGCCTCCCAGCGTCTCGAGCCTCACTGCGGGCTCCCACGTCTGCCCAGGGATGCAGCCCTCGGTCACCCCCAGCGGCGCGAAGGTCGAGGTGAGGCCGATTGCCCTTGTCCAAAGGGCCGCCAGATGCGATGGGACGGCCCCTCCTCCTCCTACTCCTCCTCCTCCTCCTCCTCCTCCTCCCCCTCCTCCTCCTCCTCCTCCTTCTTCTCCTCCCCCTCCCCCTCCTCCTCCTCCTCCTCCTCCTCCTCTCTCCTCCTCCTCCTCCTCCTCCTCCTCCTCCTCCTCTTCTCCTCCTCTCTCCCCTCTCCTCCTCCTCTTCTTCCTTCTCCTCCTCCTCCTCCTCCTCCTCTTCCTCCTCCTCCTCCTCCTCCTCCTCTTCCTCCTCCTCCTCCTTTGGTCTCCCCAAGGGGCGCGAAGGTCCAGGTGAGACCCGCCGCCCTTGTCCAAGAAGGGGGCGGCGCCGTTGCCTCTGTCCAGCGCGAAGATCACCGCGCATCGCGGGGCACGACGACGACGACGACGCCTCCCAGTGAGCCTCCGTGGGCCTCCTCTGTTCCTTCGGAGGCGAGCGAGGGGGGGAGGTGCGGAGGAGAAGGCCCCGGGTATAGCCAGGACCCCGGGTAAGGGGACCCGGTTAGTTGTAGTGCCATGGGGCCCCTCAATGGGCCAGATTCACTAAACCAGGTTTGCCGTAACTGGTGTTTTTCGGGTGACGGCAGTTCCGGTTAGTGGAAATGTGGCGGGGGGGCGCCCCCGGTACAAATCACTAAACCAGGTTCCTTTATACCCAGTTCTGCCAACGCCCGGAAGGCCCTCTCAGAAGGCGGCAGGACTTCTCAGAAGCCCTCGCGCCTTCGGAGAGGCTTTTTGTGTTTTCGGAGACGGCTCAGAAAACTTCTCAGACGGCCAGGGGACGTCCGAGCCTTCTGAGAAGGCCTTCTCCTTCTCACTTCCCCCCCTCGCTCGTCGCCGATTTCCAGATCTGCGATGTCCGGATTTTGTCCAGTAACGGGGTCCCTGCATGGGTGTATTGACTCTTTCCCTGTGGCCGGGTTTTCATGCCGAGTCGCTTTTTGATGGTCTCGGGGCCCGTCGCCAGGGCCCTCTGGGGCCGAAAATGGCCAAAGTGTTCCCGTCGTTCTTTTCTGACGACGGGGCTAGGACGGTGATACGTCCGTTCCAGAGCGTTCTGGGACGCTCTGAGAAGGCAGCGGCGCCCGAGACATCCGCAGGAGTCGCCGGATCTCAGAGATTCTCTATCTTACCCTCACCCGATGATATCCTCGTCCTGGCTCCGTCGTGTGTCACCACCGTGGCAACATTGCACCTCAGCTGTCTGGGGGTCGGGCCCTGTGCCTGCGGAGAGAGGCCGCCCATCGGGCGCTCCAGAGGCCTCTGTTGGCCACGCGCCGGAGGCGGCCCCTCGCCGGGGGGACCTTCTGGTGTGCGGGCCCGTCTGGGGTCACCATGCTTGCCAGATGTGATGCGACTGACTGCCCCTCCTCCTACGCCATACAGTCGTGGGGAGGCCGTGCTGCGGTGACGACAGAGGTCCTCTTTGCTGGCCCCCCACCCCGCCTGCTTTTCGCCGAACCGTCGGACCTCTCCCTCCATCTCTCCCCTCCCTCTCTCCTTCTCCCTCTCTCCCTCTCTTCCTCTCTTCCTCTCTCTCCCTCTCTCTCTCTCTCCTCTCTCTCTCTCTCTCCCTCTCTCCCTCTCTCTCTCTCTCTTTTTCTCTCCCTCTCTCCCTCTCTCCCTCTCTCTCTCTCTCTTTCTCTCTTTCTCCCCCTCTCTCCCTCTGTCTCGTTCTCTCTCTCCCTCCCTCAGTGTCGTGCGTTCCTCCCTTTCCGCCTCCTCCTCCTCCTCCTCCTCCTCCTCCTCCTCCTTTGGCCTCTGTCCCCAAAGCTCCTCTTCCTCCTCCTCCTCCTCCTTTCCGCCGCCTCCTCCTCCTCCTCCTCCTCCTCCTCCTCCTCCTCCTCCTCCTCCTCCTCCTACTCCGGCCTCTGCCCCCAGAGCTCCTCCTCCTCCCTCCTCCCCAGGCACGCGCGTCTTCGCCCACCCGCTGCCCGACGGCCCTGGCGCCGCGGCGGAGGCCTCGGGCCCCCGGCCGGCGCTGCTCGGCCTGCAGGTCGTGCTGGCGGCCGCGGCGTGCACGGAGGACGCCGCGAGCGGCGAGCGTGTCCGCATCCGCCCCCCTCGCGTCGGGAGGGTGTCGGCGGTGAGCCCCGGGGGGGGGGGAGGCGAGAGGGGACGGGCCTTCTCAGAGGGCTCGGAAGAGCTCCCCCCCGCCCTCCGAGAACAGGGGGCGCGAGGGCCTCTGAGAAGTCCCGCCGCCTTCTGGAAGGGCCTTCTCCTTCTCGCTTGCCCCCCCGTCGCTCGCCGCCGAGAGAACAAAGCACGTCGGGGGGGGGGGGTTGTGGCAAGCGTCGCCCTACACGGGCCCCGCCGGGGCCCAGGAGCCGTCAAAGAGTGACTCGGGATGACAGACATTGCCCAATGGGGGAAGGGTCGAGACTTCTGGGGCTTAGTGGGCCCTGGAAACGACCAGGCCGTGTTTTTAGCGGTTTCGTTTTGTCGTTTTTGTTGCCGGTTCCGACGCCGTTTTTCTTTATCGGTTCCGTCGCCGTTCTTTTACGGGTTCCCGCTCCGGTTCCAATCCTGGAGCAGTTTTTGTTGCCGTTTCCGGTCGCAGTTGTTGTTGCCGTTGTCATTTTCAAGGTTTTTTTTTTCGGAAACGGTGAAAAAACGGCCCTGTCGTTTCCGGGGCCCACTAAGTTCTGGGGACCTCGTACTGTCAATTTCAAGATATCGCATGACTGAGTCCATATCCACACCCTCGCGGTCTGGATTCGACGGGGCGCGACCCCGTCGATACGCGGTCGCATGGGTATGTTCTGCTTGGGGCAGCTGCGAGCAAAGCCCCAGTTACTCAGACATGTGATGTCCTGATGCCTTTACGGGATCCCGATCCTTTCCCCCAGGGTTGATTTCTTCATCCCGATTCGTTTTTTGACACTCCCAGGGCCCGGCGAGGGCCCCCAGAGGCTGGAAGCTGCCAAACTCTGGCCGTTGTTATTGTCCTCACAGCGCGAGCATGTCTGGGGCATCCATGAAGGGGCCGCGGCTCCAGTGCCCTCGCCCGCGAGGCCGCTGGTACGCTCCACGCGGAGCACCCGCGGACGAAGGGCCCCGCATCCAGCCCCTACGATCTGACCTTGCGAAAACAATGCAGCACAGTGACAGCCCCAGAACCCACCTTTCTTCTGCACTTTGCGAGCTGCATCGACCTGTGATGTTTGATGGTCTTGGGCCCCGAAGCCAGGCGAAAACATCGGGGTCGCGGCTCGGGGGCCCAGCCCGCGTGGCCGTGTGTACGGATATAGCGCGAGGGGGGGGGGGCTTATGAGGCGGAGGGAGCGTGGTGGGGCCTGCGCGGGTGCCCTCTTTGGCTCTTGCTTGACATGGGGGGCAGTTGCCAGAGCGGAAGCACCTGTTGTCGTGCCCATCTTGCCACCGGCGCGCGCCCTTGGAGACCCGTCCACAGAAGCGCCAGGAAAGGAACGAGGAAGGGCACACGGAGTACAGCGGAGGCCTTGCGGTCAATGCCGCCGACCTTGAGGGCAGGACCTCCCCCGGGACACCCGCTCGCGACCCCCCCCCCCACGGGAACCGCCAGGACCCCAGGGGAGCGGCATTCTGACCCGGGACCCCTCCCCTCCCCGCTTCCAAGCCCCACCTTCCCCGAGCAGGGGCGGGATAAAGGGAAGGGGTTCCCCTCCGACCTCGCCACGACGTTCTGTATCCTTTTGCCCCAATAGCCTTGGGACGACGTCGACGACCACGACCACGACCACGACCACGACCACGACCACGACCACGACCGACGACCACGGCCGACGACGACAGCGTCTTCCAAACGCCGAAGGGTCGGCGAATTTGCTTTCAGTCCACAAGGACATGACCAGGGAGCAGCTGGCGGCCTACGTGCACGAGCACGGCGGCGCGGTCGCGGAGGAGGCCCGGGCGCCCCAGAGAAGGAAAACCCCGCGTCCAGGCGCTGCGACGCCAAAAAACGGGGTCGGCTGCGCCGACATTGGCACGTGAGTTCCTCGTCTAAGCGTCTCCGGTATGGCTTGCCGCGCCCGCGGCCCGCGTAAGTCACCGCGTAAGGTCGCTATGGCATCCCGCGTAAGATCCGTTTCGTCTCGTCGCTCAATTGACAGTCATCGGGCAGTCGGAGGGCGCCACCCAGACAAGTCGTCTGAGGAACTCTGCACCGATTCACTCGGCAACGACACTCGAGTGTGCCAGTGCAGTCCCAAGTCGGTTTCGCTAATCGACGTGCGTCTCGCTGGATGCATTCGTTTCGTTTTGGACGTCGGTAGCTACCCCGCTGGGGTGCACCTAGAATGCGGTGCCGTGAGCTCGCGGAGTGCCCCTGGCAGCTTTCAGGAAAGGGCGTTCTGCTAAAGGGGCTTCAGTCCACCCGTAAATTTCAAGCTTGTGTTTGGGACAGCTCGTCTGTGCAGGCGCTCTTGGTGAGGTTTCAGCGGCCACGTCGCCTCTTCAGACTGGCCTGAGTCAGAGGGGCTATAGCCCCCCCCTTCCGCCAGCACGCGCGCATAGGAGCGAGGAGGGAGGGGAAAGACAGACACCCTGCGCTTTCGCCCGGTGTTAGGCCCCGGGATCATATCAGACCGATGCAGCTCGGGACGCCGCATAATGATGAGGTCTGGGGCTCAGCACGTGATTTGATGTAATCTTTCGCGACGTCGGATCTCAGGGAACGTGCCGAAACGGCTCCCTCGCCGCCACGGCTGGATTCGCCTTGAAGGTCTGGTCAGAGCGCGCCCCAGAAGTGGTCCGTGAAGTATAGCGGTATCCCCATACAGGCGATGTTTTGATTTGTGCAATACGGCGTCCTTGAACGTCCCGACCTTTTTATTTCCAAGGGTTGGTGTTTGATCCCGAGTCGCTTCTTGACGGCCCTCGGGCCCCGCAAGGGCCCCCAGAGGCCGAAAATAGGCAAAAGAGAACCCGCCTTTTGTTTCACGACGCCAGCATGTCTGGGGCAGTATCCTGTTATTTCCCCGGTGCCGCACCAGGAGGGAGGAGGAGGAGGAGGAGGAGGAGGAGGAGGAGGAGGGAGGAGGAGGAGGAGGAGGAGGGGAGGAGGAGGAGGAGGAGGAGGAGGAGGAGGAGGAGGGGAGGGGCAGGAGGAGGGAGGAGGAGGAGGAGGAGGGAGGGAGGAGGAGGAGGAGGAGGAGAGGGAGGAGGAGGGGGGAGGAGGCAGGAGGAGGGAGGAGGAGGAGGAGGAGGAGGAGGAGGGGAGGGGCAGGGGGAGGAGGGAGGGAGGAGGAGGAGGAGGAGGAGCAGGAGGAGGGAGAGGGGGAGGAGGAGGCCCCGCAGGTGGAGCGCCGAGAGGGAGAGCGGTCCTGCGGAGGGGTGGGGTGGGCCGCGCAGGCGGGGCGGGCGGGTCGTGCCGCAGCGGCGGCGGAGCCTGCGACGGGGCCCGAGGCGGGGCGTTGCAGAAAGGGCCTCTCGCCCGCGAGGGTCGACGGCGCTGCCATCTCTTCCTCGGCTGGAGGCGGCGGGAGGTTTCGGCGGCGGGCGGCAGAAGGAGAGCAAGGCGGTGCGTACATCCGCAGGCGGAGGCCAGAGGAAGGAAAGCATACCCCCCAAAGGGGTGGCACCTTCTCCGCCTCCTTCCCCTCCTCCTCCTCCTCCTCTTCCTCCTCCTCCTCCTCCGCCTCGTCCTCCTCCTCCTCCTCCTCCACCTCCTCCTCCTCCTCCTCCACCTCCTCCTCCTCCTCCTCCTCCTCCTCCAGGGTTTCTGGGGCCCGCCATGTGGAGCCGCATTTTCTCCACGCCGACGGCGCCGATGCAGCGCCGACGTCGCCGACGCATCCGCGATGCAGCGCGATCCTGCGACCCCCTCTGCTCGGACCCCATGCGGGAGGCCTTCAGGGAGAGGGATCCTGGCGGAGACGAGTCCTGGAGGTCTTCGGCCGCTCTGTGCCGCCCAGGTCAAGGGCTGGTCCCTGGGGAAGGCCCCAGGATCCAGGACCCGTTCCTCGCAGCCCGAAGGGGAAAAGCTAATATAGGATTCTTTCGGAGGTCCGCGCGGGCTTCTTGGATCGGCGCAGGGGGCACCGCCAGGAAAGGCTCAGCGCCGATCCGAAGACATCCGCGCGGACCTACGAAAGTCTCGATGTCTCCTCACCCGACAGGTAATCCTCCCCCCCGCCGCCCCCGCCCGACAGGTAGTGCTCCCCGGGTATCCCGGCTCGTGCCTTCGACAAATGACGACTGCATCGCGGCCGCCAAGCTCAAATAGTGCCGCTGCTCTCTGGGTATCCGGCCTCGCGCTTCTGGGTAGGGGCGAAGTAAAGTCATTACGCAGGTTCTGCTGCTCCTCCTATTAGAGGTGGGGGGCACCATGCGGCCTGGGCCCCGCCAGTTATCGAGGTTGCAAATCAAGGCTGCTCCAGCGTTGGCCCTGAGTGCGTGACTAAGCATTACCGTGCACCTCTGTCTGCGCACAGTGCTCGCTGAGGGTACCTTCAGTAAGGTCCTCTTGGCTCTGGCGACCCGTTGGCGTAGATTTTGAAGAGTGTTTGCATTTTGCCTGAGAGCTCGACTGAACGTTTCGATGTGTCAGGCCAGTGTGCGCCCGCATCAGCGAGCCCGACAGTGATGGCTGTGAACGAGCGCGCCGCGCACGCTTGCGCGCAGGCATCGTGCGAGCCAGGCCTCGGGGCGCCCTGGGCCGGGCCGCTACAGGAGGAGGAGGGGGAGGAGGGAGGAGGAGGAGGAGGAGGAAGGAGGAGGAGGAGAGGAGGGGAGGAGGAGGAGGAGGGAGAGGAGGAGGAGGAGGAGAGGAGGGAGAGGAGGGAGGAGGAGGAGGAGGAGGAGGACAGGAGGAGGAGGAGGAGGAGAGGGGAGGAGGGAGGAGGGAGGAGAGGAGGAGAGGAGGAGGAGGAGGAGGAGGAGGAGGAGGAGGAGGAGGAGGAGGAGTGGAGGAGGAAGAGAGGAGGAGAGGAGGAGGAGGAGCAGGAGGAACAAGGCGAGGAGGAGAAAGGAGGATGAGGTGGGCTTTCTCGCGCAGGGGAGGGCACGTGCCAGCGTGGAGGGGGGAGAAACGCGCGAGGGGGGCGTGTGCGGGAGGACAGGGGACGACTCTCGGGCCTGGCCAGGATCTTGGGCCGTCGCTCTCCCTCCCTTCCTTCTCTCTCCTCCTTCCTTGCTCCTCCTCCCTCCCTCCCTCGTCCCTTCTCCCTCCTCCTCCTCCTCCATTTCCTTCTCCTCCTCCCTCCTCCCTCCTCCCTCCCTCCCTCCCCCCCTCATCCCTCCTCACTCCTCCCTCTTCCTCCCTCCTCACTCCTCCCTCTTCTTCCCTCCTCCCTCTCCTTCCTCCCCTCCTCGGCTCTACGAGCTGGCGGGCGGGCGGCGGGAGGGGCGGGGATACTCCGGGGGTCTGAGAGGGGCAGGGCCCGATGAGGAGACCGGCGTCGCTGGGCGACCGGGGCCCGGTTGGCTGGCAGCGAATCGGCCAACACGCGGGGGGTCTCTAAGGAGACCAGCGGATGTGGCCCAAGAGAAGCCTCAGAGGCCTGTCGATGTTAATGGTCTGTGAGTGGGGTAGCTGGATGGGGGACCGTCCGATTGGGGCCGAGAGGATATGCATCCCTCCGTCTCCTCCTTCCCCCGTCCTTCTCGCCCGGCTCGTCTTCGCCGTCCCCCTCCTCGTCAGCCTGCCTATTGTTCCTCCCCTTCTCCCCTTCGCCCCCTCCTCGGTCTCGTCGTCTGCGCCGCCGAGCTGCCCTCCGTTGGCAGCACAGCGGACGCCAGAGGCACGACAAAAAAAGGCTGGGGGCACGAGGTGGACGAGCGCACAACGTCGGCGTCGTCCTCCTCCGCCTCCTCCTCCGCCTCCTCCTCCTTCTTCTTAGCTGGGAGCACCCCAGACAGCAGCCCCTCCTGCCGCCAGTCTGCCTCCGACAGCCTGGAGCGGCCTGGCCCTCGGGCACCTGCGATGCCTGGCTCGCCTACGGAGCGGCACGTGCTTACCCTGCCACAGGAAGCGCTCGTGCCAGCAGCACCAGCGCGCTTCCGCGCGCGATGCCTGCGCGCCAGCGTGCCCGACCCCAGACATCCGATGTCTTGTTTTGTCCATGCGGTGCCCCGCGGTCCGCGGAATTCCTGTTTTACTTTTGTCCACGGGGCTCGGAAAATCGGGCCCGCGGAAGGCCCGACCACGTCCTCCCGAGCCTGCTGTCCTCCCGAGCCGTTGCTTGGACGGCCTTGGGGCACGGCGGGGGCTCCCGGAGGCCGAAGAATGGCCAAAGACAGATCCGCCGCGATGGTTGGAAAGAAGGCATGGAATGGAGGAGGAGGAAGGAGGATGGATGGGGAGGAGGAGGAGGAGGAGGAGGAGGAGGAGGAGGAGGAGGAGGAGGAGGAACTGAGCGGCCCTGGCAGCACGCCGGTGGCAGCCGGCGGCGCGATCCCCCCCCCCCACCCGCCCTGGAGGTCTCGAGCGCCGTGAGCGCCGTGGTCTCCACGGCGGAGGCGGCGGAGGCCAAGGACGACGAGGTCGTGGCGAGGGCGGAGGCGCGCCTTCCCGCCGACGGTCTCTTGGTCGTTCGCTGCATCTCGAAGAGAGAGTGGGCAGACACGCCAGTCGTCGAAAGTATGTATTTTTGGATTCCCAGATCCCTCTTCCGTTCGAGGGCGGAGGAGCGCGTTCTGCCGACAGTCTCTTCAGGAGAGAGCGGGCAGACGCGCCGGTCGTCGAAGGTAGGTATTTCTGGATGTCCAGATCCCAATCTACTTCAAGCGCCTTCCCAATTCCTTACGCTTCGCGTATCCCCACCAGCCCATCTCAAAACAGCAACTCTTGCGAAGCATGCCGGCAGTCGTGTTTTTCAGGCGTGTTTCCGCCTGCCCCCGCATATCTCCCCTGTTCCTCCTTCCTCCCGCCTCCTTGTACATCCTCCTTGTGGTGGGAGCGGGAGAAGGACGAGGCGGAGGAGGAGGGAGAGAAAGCGCTCCTCGTGGTTTGAGTCGTTTGGGGTTTCTCGTCCTGGTGTGAGTCGTTCGGGCCCTTCTTCCTGGTGTGAGTCGTTCGGGCTCTTCGTGGTGTGAGTCGTTCGGGCTCTTCGTCCTGGTGTGAGTCGTTCGGGCTTCTCGTGGTGTGAGTTGTTCGGGCCCCTCGTCCTGGTGTGAGTCGTTCGGGCCCCTCCTCCTGGTGTGACTCGTTCGGGCTCCTCGTGGTGTGAGTCGTTCGGGGCCCTCGTCGTGGTGTGAGTCGTTCGGGCTCCTCGTGGTGTGAGTCGTTCGGGCGCCTCGTCCTGGTGTGAGTCGTTCGGGCCCCTCCTTCTGGTGTGAGTCGTTCGGGCTCTTCGTGGTGTGAGTCGTTCGGGCCCCTCGTCCTGGTGTGAGTCGTTCGGGCTCCTCGTGGCGTGAGGCGTTCGGGCACCTCGTCCCCTTTTGGGGCGTCTTGGGGGCCTCTTGGCGGCCCCAGGGGCTTCTAGGAGCGTCTTGGGTGCCTTGGGGGAGCCTCTTCGGGCCTCTTGGGAGCCTCTTGGAGGCCGTTTGGGGCGTCTTGGGGGCCTCTTGGCGGCCCCAGGGGCTTCCAGGAGCGTCTTGGGTGCCTCGGGGGAGCCTCTTGGGGCCTCTTGGGGGCCTCTTGGGGGCATCTTGGGGGCCTCTTGGAGGCCTCTTGGGGGCCTCCTGGGGGCCTCTTGGGGCCATCTTGGGGCCTCTTGGTGCCTCTTGGGCGCTTCTTGGGGCCATCTTGGAGGAAATCGATCAAAGAAGAGGGGAGCTTTAAGTAGCGCTGCCCCCTCAGAAGGGCAACATGGGGCCACAACCTTCGTAAAATCAATGATTCTGGCTTGAAAGAAGAGGGGAGCTTTAAGTAGCGCTGCCCCCTCAGAAGGGCAAACTGGGGCCAAAACCTTCGTAAAATCAATCATTTTGGCTTCAAAGAAGAGGAGAGGGTGTTTTCTGCCCCCCCCCGTCGGGGCCAGAATCCTCGTGAGGGGTGTCGTTTTTTAGCCCTCCCAGGAGTCGAAAATGACCCCCCTGACGACCCGCGGAACGCCCTCTCCAGGCCCAGGGGGAGGGGGTAGGGGGAGGGGTAAACCCCTCCCCGAAGGGGAAGAAGGGGGGTTGAGAACAGAGAGAGCTCCCTAAACCACTCACGCCCAAAGGGCTGGTGGGATTATTTCAAGAGTCGGCATGGTGTTGCTATGTCTTGTTATTATCTGGGAGGGCCTGGACCCAATCCACTTCATCCGCCTTCCTACTTCATGTTTGTACCTACTTTTTCCGACCGACGCGTGCACCTATCAGGAATTATGGCTCAGCGCGTCGCTCCGCCAGTTCTGGCCCACCACGCTTCGGCGCGGCACGCTAGCCACGTTCCCACTCCCGAGCGTCCACCTCTCGAGCCTTTCCCAGCCTCCCGCCCTGCGGAGCGGAGCGACACGGCATCCGCTTGCAAGGCATAGCGTGTCGCCAGGGCCGCCGCCGCGACACGCCAAGTAGAGGTTCCCGACCATAAGACAACTGAATGAACATACGTAAGTTTTCGGAGCTCCGCGCGGATTTCTCAGATCGGCGATGGGGCCCCCCTGGGGACGCCTCCAGCGCCACCCCATGGCGCGCTCCGCGCGCCAGGGATGGGGTCCAACGCCGATCCCCCAAAAATCTTCGCGGGCCTCCCACAGTTAGTTTGAGTCGACGCCAGCCTTTCTTCTCGGTGGTTCAAAGATGAGGTCCTGAGGGATGGGGTCCTAAGAATGGGAAGGGATCCAAGGATGGGTTTACATTGTTTGAGGCGCCTCATGGCACCTCGTCCTTAGGACCCCATCCTTCAGGACCCCATCCTTCAGGACCCCATCTTTGAACCAACGATCTTCCTAAAGCGCGCCCGAGCGGGCTCAGGGAATTACCGTTCGACGTCGGTGGCATCATTCGTGGAGGCGGGAAGCGCGGGGGCTCAGGGTCCCTGCAGTCGGGGGTTCGCAGTTTGGGGGGGTTATCCCCAGGTGGGGCTTGTGGTGGGAACGAGCCAAGCTGGATGCTCAGGGGAACAAGCAATGGCATGAACACAATAACTCCGACGGTAGGACCCCGAATGACAATCTTATCATTTTGGCTGGAGATCTTCTCATGTTCCCTCCTCCTACCCTCCCCTGCATTCTCCTCCTCCTGCCTCATCCTCCTGCCTCCTCTTCCTCCTCCTACTGCCTCCTCCTCATCTTCCTTTTCCTCCTCACCACCTCCTCCAACTCCTGATCCTCCTCCTCCTTCTTCTCCCTCTCCATTCCGCCTGTTCTCCTCATGCACTTCTCGTTTAGTTTGACCAGGGCACGCGTGCCGATTTCCCTTGGCGCCCTCGCAGCCACGGCCGGCAACATCGCGCTCTCTGGTGGCCGGATCGCGAAGCGGCTGGTGCAACTTCGCGGGCCAGGCCGTTGGGAGAACCCCGTGGGCGTTTGGGGCGCGTGAGCGGAGGAAAAAACATACATTGTGGGAAAAGCACGGTGGGACAAATAACACAAAAACGCACACTGTGTTGTCGTTGGAAAAAAACAAAACAAACAAAACACACACACACTGACTGTGTTGTTTTCTTTGTTTTTTTTCTCACAGGCTGCGTTTTTTTATATTTTTCCCACAGCTGCTGGGACAACCCTGGCGGGCCTCGAGCTGGGCGCCGCCGCGCTCAGGCGGAAGGCAGCGCGAAGCCCAGCTCTGCCGCGAGCCCCGCCTCGGCTCGAGCTCGCAGCCCTGCGCGGAGGCGGGAGGCCCCTACGGAGGGGCTCCAGCGCGAGGCCCCTCGCGATTCGCTCGCAGACGAGGCCCCCTCTCCAGGCTTTTACAGATTCGGGCCCAGGGAGCCCAGAAGGGACGATAGTTTCGGGACTCGGATGTGGCCCACTCGGATTCGAATCTGGAGGCGGGGGCCCCATGGGGAGGGGCTCCCGCTTGAGGCTTCCTCGCGAGTCGCTCACAGACGAGGCCCCCGCTCGAGACGTCCTCCAGATTCAAGGAGCCCAGAAGTGACGACAGTTACGAGATTCAGAAGGCCCGTTCGGATTCGGATATGTAAGTGGAGCCCCATGGGGAGGAGCTCCCGCTTGAGAAATTCTCCACATTCATGCTTGAGGAGCCCAAAGTATTGAAAGGTACATGTTTCAGAGGACCCACCCAGATTCGAACTTGGAGGCGGGGAACCCATTTGGAGGGCTTCCCGCTGGAGATTTCCTCTGGATTCGCTCACGAACGAGGCTCCCGCTTAAGACTCCCTCCATAATCAGGCCTGGGAATGTCCAAAGTGACGACCGTTACAAGTTTGAGGATGACCCCCTGAAGCGCGGGCCCCATAGGGAGAGGCTCTCGCCTTAGATTTGTTCGCACCGCGATCACAGAGGAGGCTCCCGCTCGAGATTGCCTGCACGTTCAGGCTTGAAGATTTCAAAAGCGATGGCAGTTACAAGCTTGAGGCACGTGGGACCTACAGGGAGGAGATTCGCGACTCACTGACGGACGAGGCTCCCGCTTGAGACTTCTTCCATATTCAAGCCTGGAGAGCCCACAAGTGACGACAGTTTTAGGTTTGGAGATGGGCCTTTAAGATAAAACAAATAAAACGTTGGTCCTAAATTGAGCGGTTCCCGCTTGAGAGTTTGAGCGATTCCTTCACAGACGAGCCCCCCGCTTGAGACGTCCTCCAGATCAGGCTTGGGGAGACCCGGAGTGACGACAAGTACACGTTTGAGGATGACCCCCTGATATTCGATTGAACCCTACAGGGAGGGGGCCCTCGTATGAAAATCCATCGCGGTTCACTCACAGACGAGTCTCCCGCTCGAGACTACCTCCGTCTTCAAGCCCGATAAGCCCAACAGTGACGACGGTTACAGGTTTGAGGATGGCCCGCTAGCGTTGAAACCTAACGTGCGGGTCCCATCTCCCGCTCGAAACTTCCTCCACATTCATGCCTGGAGGGCCCAAAAATGATGACGGATAAAGGTTTGAGGACGACCCTTTGGGATTCAAAATGCGGCGCGCGGGCCCCAAAGGGAGGGGGCTCCCGCATGAGAATTCCTCGCAACTCACTCGCAGACGAGGTTCCCGCTCGAGACTTCCTCCAGGTTCAGGCCTGCGGAGCCCAATGATGACGACACTTACAGGTTTGAGGATGACCCGCTGGAGTGTTCCTTTTTCAAATTTTCTTTAATACAAACACATCATGTGCGGGACCCCTCGGGAGGGGACTCCCGCTCGAGGTGTCTTTCGAGGTGAGCATGTGCGTGTGTGAATGTGTGTGAGAGAGAGAGAGAGTGAGTGGAAGCGAGAGCGCGACTGAGATGATGGTGATGATGAGAGTGTTGATGATGAAGATGATGGTGATGATGTTGATGATGGCGCTGATGATTGTGATGCTGCTGCTGATGATGATGATGATAATGAGAATGGTGATGTTATGATAATGCTGATGGTGATGCTGGCGGTGATTATGTGCATGACGAAATCAGGATGTCGTTCCTAGTGAGTGTGAGTGAGTGGGTGAGTGGTAGTGGCGGTCATGATAAGGA